TTCCCTCTCTGGTCAAATTAAAAGGAATGAATTAAAAAATTAAAGAATAAATCATTCTTGGGACCAGCAGTTAGTGTAATGGCTATGTCGCTGGACTCCCACGAGTCGACTGCGGTTCGAGCCCTGGACCCGGTGGCTTAAGCTCATGCTGGGCGCACGTGCGTGCGTGCCCAAGATCACGAGAGGAGAATGGAGGAGAAGGGATTGCGGCGTGGCCACCCCCCGGGGGGGTGATTTCTCACTTTCTTTCTCTCTGTCTCTCTCTGTCCGTCTGGCGAGCGCATGCGCCCTATAGCAAAAACCTCCCCCCTCCCCCCCCCCCCCCCCCCCCCAAAAAAAGAAAAAAGAAATCATTCTTTAAAAAAAAAAAAAAAGAAAGAAACAGCCTGCCCCATTACAAGGTGAACTTCAATCAAACCACACTAATGCACAATATTAAAAATGAGGTCAAGAAAGTTTATGAGTCTACTTGGAATGTTTTCACTTAGAAATCTGAGTGACAGCTTTAAAACCTCAGGCCAGCAGAATGTGTTGTTGATTAAGCCATTTGAATATCTCCAGAATCTGATGCTATCCTACTGCCTGTACTGTATGGTCTGAGATTAGGTCTGAGTAGTCACCTAGAAGGAGACAGGTACTTCTAAGTAGTCTCGCTGTTTCCTTTCTAGCTGCCTTGCAGTTTGTTTTCTATACAGAACCAGGAGTCAGCTCTTACAATAAAAATTCTCCACTGTTTTCCCATAATATTTAGAATAATCCAAACTATTTTTCATGATCATCCAAGTTTACAATATTATCCTGATGTTGCAATGTCTTTAAGAATATAACACATTCAAGTCCACCCTTCTATCTACTTCCACATAATATAAATCTCTTTTCATCTCCTAGGGCCTATATATTTTTTTCTTCCTGAAATATTTTCTTTCATGTGGTTGCAAGAATCACTCCTCATTTTTTCAAGTCATTGTTCAACACTTCTGAGAAGTAATTCCTAACTACTCAAACTAACATTTAACTTTACCACCTCTGTCAATAGATTTATATGGCATTTTTTTTCTACCTACTGTCTAAAAGTACATTATGTATATTGTGTTTTCTTATCATTTGTCTCCAGAACACTCATGTAATATCAAGATTACAAGACTTTCTCTGTGTATCTCACTGACCAATTGACACTGGAATTGGGAGTCAGTGTGTTCTGGGCTGTGACAATTGGTCTCTGTTTTTTCTCTAATTAAGTCTCATAGTAAGGAGTTGGAAATTCTTTAGAAATAGGATCCACATGTCTATAGGTCCAAGCAACATAGTGACTCAATGGAAACAGGAAAAAGAAAAGAAAAATATAACACAGTATGGCTGCCCAGCATGATAGCGACTATCTTTCCAGGGACCCTGCCCTACCTATGTACCCACTGCATGTCTCAGTATGAATCTCTGTTGCTCATAAAGTACACTTTTACAGGTGCTCAAACAGTATATCAGATGAATAAATCAAAAGTACTTGGGTAACCTAAAAAATTTTAGAACAGGGTTTCAGTCAGTTAGATTCATTATCTGCATATTGATTTTGGTTAACTACCTTAGTGCTATTAAATTCAGGCAGAAAATCTTGGTAGTAATGAAACCCTCGGATTTAAATGCATAATGTAGGTCAAGTTGCTTTTGCCTTTTTTTCCTTATGTTTCTTTGCCAGAGGGTGCATGTGCTTACTAAAGAGAAAGAAGAGAGAGAGGCACATTACTCTTTTCCTAAACATATTTAACAACTTTGTTAGTCCTCATTTTCCCTATTTACAAATAAAAATAATAATGCTACCTATGTCTTGATGTTGTTGTGAAGAATCAGCGTCCTGCGAGCTAAGCACTGAGGAGAGTACTGCGTATCAACATAACTCAGTAAATGTTACCGCTTATTTATTATGACCATTAATTATCACTGAGTTCATCTCAAACTAGAAGCATTTGGCGCATTTCTGTTCTTGTTTCCCAAGAAACAGGATCCTCTTTAATTCACTGAATGTGTAATCGGAAAACTCTAAGAGGAAGGAACATGTCTGTATGTGTCCTCAGAATCTCCCAAACTGCTTGGAAAACAATAGACTTCTAACAAATGCTAGTTGACTAAAGTAATGAACATTATTCAAAATAAGCTTAGTTTTATTTTAGTAAAGGTTAACAATAACATTCTCTTTCTTTTGACTCTTGAAGCCTCCTTGCACAACTTCGTACTCAAAAAACTCGGTGTAAAAGGTAAATAGTGACCAAAAAATTTCAAAAAACAAACAAACAAAAAAACATGTGACCTTAGTTTTCTTTTTTCTGTGTGTTCTAGTATGAAAGTATAGACATTGTCAAGGTCACAGAATCAATTGCTCATTGAGACTGATTAATAAAATTATACTTACTGATATTTGCACTGTAACAAATTTCCATCTTAAAGCAAAATGAAGTTTACATATTGCTGCAGGCATTGTGCAAATTAGAACTTCATTGAATATTAATGAATTACTCTTTGTGGCCAATTGTTATGCAAATTAACAGAGTGTCAGAATTTATCATTTTATTTGGTTGAGGATTAAGGGGAAATAATGCTTTTAAAATCAAGCAGAACTCTACAAACTAATATGTTAATGCAAGCCAGAAAATATTACACAATTCCTGAATGTATAATTTTTGTTTTTTTAGTTTTGTTTTTTTTTTAAATATTAATTTAATTCATATGTTCTTCACATTGAAAATGGAGAATAGTCCTATGGGTTTTTGAAAAATCTTTAAAATACTTTTTTTAACCTATACAACTGGTCTCTACAAAATATGCAAACTCATTATAATCATTTTATAAAGTGTAGGTTTTTTGTTTTGTTTTTATTTAGGGAGACTCTTTTTTGGAGAGGTTTTTGCTATAGGGCACGTGCGCTCGCCTGAAAGACTGAGGGAGACAGAGAGATAGAAAGTGAGAAATCACCCCCAGGGAGGATGGTCACGTCACAATCCCTTCTCCTCCATTCTCCTCTCAGGATCTTGGGCACACGCACACACACACACGCCCGACGTGAGTTTAAAGCCACTGGGTCCAGGACTAGAACCACAGTTGGCTACCTGGGAGTTCAGTGACATAGCCATTACGCTAACTGCTGGTCCCCCTAATGCATTATTGGAAGCTGCTTGGAGAAGACACTTCGAGTCTCATGAAACACCAAAGGATTACTCCCAGTGATACTCGGCCTGTTGTCCTCCTATGCCCAGCAGTGACATGGAGCTTATCTGTGGCCATGGATCAGGGCGTTAAGAAGCCACCCCTTCCAGCTGATCAGCACAGCCTAGCAGCACTCCTTTAAACATGCCATGAGCCCCCCCCACCCCCACTGTTACCGCTCTTGTTCAAGCTACTATCATCTGTCACTGGATTTAAAGAGCTTCCAATATATTTCCTTGCTTCCATTTTTTACTTTTATAGATTATTTTCCATACAGCAGCCAAAAATATAAATAAATTAGATTACTACCCTAAAAACCCTCAACGGCCAGCAGGTGGTGTGTGGGTAAGGTGCTGGACTCTCATATGGCAAATCACACCAGGTTAGTGTGCGCGCATCCCCAAAATTCCGAAAGGAGAATGGAGGACTGTGGTGTGGCCAGTCCCCAGCGGGTCATTCCCACTTTCTCTCTCTGGCGAGCTCACATCCCTATGGCAAAAACCTTAAAGAAAGGAAAAAAAAAAAAAAAAAAAGCTAGTATATTCCTTGTCTATCACCAGTGTCCCCTATTAAAATAAAAGTCCATGAGGGGTAGGGACCCTTTTCAGTCTCTTCAGATGTGCCCTAGAACAGCACCTAACATACAGACATTCAGTAACCATTTGTGGAATGGATGAATAATGACAAAATCACAAGGTAGCTTGGCCATCCCTCTTACCATGCCAAGGAGGAATTCAAAGCCAATCAAAACCATTACCAGTGAGATGCCTTCACTACTGGGCAGCCCATCTCACCAAAGGAGAACGTTCATCCCCCTAATAGCCCACTTCCCCACAAAGAGTGCCCTCAGACCCAAGGAGAACAAGAAAAGATAGCAAAATGATATTAGATCAGAACACTCAAATTAAGAAACTTCTATTGCCAGGGGACCAGCAGTTGGCGTAATGGCTATGTCACTGGACTGCCACATAGACGACCGTGGTTCAAGTCCCGGACCCAGTGGCTTAAACTCACGCCGGGTACGTGTGCATGTGTGCCCAAGATCTCAAGAAGAGAATGGAGGAGAAGGGACTGCACCATGGCCGCTCCCCTGGGGGGTGATTGCTTGCTTTCTATCTCTCTGTCTCTTTCTGTCTTTCTGGAGAGCACACACGCCCTATAGCAAAAACCTCTCCTCCCCCCAAAAAGAAACTTCTATTTCCCTAATTTGTAACCAATGTAAAATATCTAAACAGACCCTGGACAGGCTTTTGCACTTGTGTTAACACTGCACCCCCCAATCAGTATCACTGCTGACCCCTCTGGTAAGAGGGAAGACCGTCCTTTTGATCTACATTCTCTGGATGACCTATTTCCTATTGATAATTAGACATATCCACAGTTCAGGCAATAAATTGTAGACAACCAAACCACTCCATTAAAAAATCCCCAAAACGTAAAGATGAAGAATAAAAGAAACGCAATGTAAATGGTCCAGAAGAGAAGTGTGTGTACAGCATGGTGAGTCCACCTCCTTAAAGATTAAGGGACTAGTCCAGAAATACACCTGCGCCCGAGAGAGTACCACTTGCTCTCGGCTCTAGCAAGTCAAGGCTTGTGGTTCCCTAAAAGTCGCTAGACGGAAAGAAGGCTAGAAGAGAAGTAGAAAAATCAGTACAGAGAAAAGTACAGGAAGATAAGAATCTCAAGATTGGAAGACAAGAGAATCATTAGTGGTGATGCATTTCCCTAGAATTTACATTCTAAAGAAATAACCTCTCTTCCATGGGGGAAGGGAAATGAAGAACAGACTCCTACTTACATACCTTACAAATGTGCTGAAGACTCACGGTCTGTGTGGCGGAGTTGTACAAAATACCTTGAACTTCTCAGATGAAAGTCTATAAAGATACAGATATAAAAAAGAAAAATCAGGAATCACAGCTGAACGGCAACTCTCAGAAAACCAATAGCTTAGGGCCCGCAACTGGCCTGGTGGTTAAGGGCACTGGACTCCCACATGGCCAACCATGGTTTAAGTCCCGGACCTGGTGGCTTGCTTTCTCACTTTCCGTCTCTCTCACTCTGTCCCTCTCTGGTCAAATTAAAGTAAATTAATTAAATTATTTATATATTTATGTATTTATTTTTTAATTTGCCCAGAGAGGGACAAAGAGAGAGAAAAGGGAGAAAGCAAGCAGCCAAGTTTGGGGCTTGAACCATGGTCAGCCATGGGGGAGTCCAGCAACTTTATCCACCACGCCACCTGCCAGCCTCAATAATTCTTTAAAAAAAGGAAAAAAGAAGAAAACCAACAGCTTAAAAAACACAGACCCGGACCAACAGTTTGCATAATAGCTATGTCGCTGTACTCCCATGTAGTCAACCATGGTTTGAGTCCCGGACCCGGTGGCTTAAACTCATGCTGGATGTGTGTGCACCCAAGATCCCGAGAGGAGAATGGAAGAGAAGAGATTGCGGCGTGATCATCTCCCCTGGGGGGGTGTGTGTGTGTGATTTCTCGCTTTCTCTCTCTGTCTTACTGGTGAGCACACGCGGCCTTTAACAAAAACCTCTAAAAAAAAAAAAAAAAAAAAACACAGGCTGAAATCATTAGGTCAGGAAAATTATAATATGAAAAAAATCCCTTTGACTTTCTGATCAGAAATGATCAGTATTAGTTTACTATTTAAAACCAGAACAAAGGCCAGCCCAGGGAATGGTGGTTAAGATAGTCGAATCTGACTGCAGTTTGAGTACTAGACCCAGCAGCTTCAGAAACACACCAGGCACATGTGCATGCATGCCCCAATTCCTGAAAGGTGAATGGAGGAGAAGGGACTGTAGTGAGGCCAAGCCCCTGGAGGGGTACTTTCTCATTTTCTCTCTTTCCAGAAAGTGTCTGCGCCCTACAGCAAATTTAAAAAATAAAGTCAGAACGCATTCAGACATACTCTGTGAGGCACAGGGAGTGATTCTAGTTTTTTGTTTTTATAAAACCCCAGATCATGTCATTCCCCTACCTGAAAACGTCGAATGTCTTTGCAAAGGCCTACACAACACGGCCCGCCAGCCTCTCCAATCCCCCTTTCACCTTCCACTTTTCCTTTCACTCCACTCCAAACGTACTTCCTTGGCTGCTTCTGTTTTCCTCTTTCTTTTGACTTGAATTTAAGATAAGATACTATCATAACTCTTCTCAAAACATATCTAGTCTACCAGCACTCTTCAAGAAAAAAACCAAGCTCTTTTTGGTAAAAACTGCATACTGGTTGCAATTTAATAGTGCATCTAATATTTTGATTATGATTAGCTATAAAAATGAATTCAGAATCTCTTGAAGGAAGTGCCAGTAAACTGGGACCAACACCCAGAATGAGCAGCGCCTATCTGATTTCGCTCACGTGACTACCATAATTACGAGTATATGAGGCCTTCACTTAACACTAAAGCACTAGATTAAAGAGGAGTCACTTGAAATAGAAACACTTGAAATAGAGACTTTACAGTAATCACTAACTGCAAACTGTCCTGAAAAATGTATTAATAATCTCAGACACTTAAACTGCACATGTTTCCAAAGAGCCAAGTATAGTAAGATACATACATTTAACAGTAACAAGTTTTAAACTTAGGTATACTAACTTGTAGATGCAAGCAAACTGAGTTCCACTGGACAAGTGAATAAAGGGATAAACCAAATGGGAGGGGAGGATAAAATACTTGGGGGTCTTTAAAAATTATAACATATGGCCAATTTTTAAATACAGTGATTACATACCATTTGTCATTACCGCCAATAGCCACGATGCAATTAAACCCAAGGGGCTGACTATAACAGCCCATCAGGCCCAAATTAGTTCTCTTAGAAGCTGAAGTATCAGTCTTTCTTCTAGAATTAACATTAGCATCTCCTCTCTGTAAGACTATTAATAAGCCTAAAGTGGACCCCAAGTAGACTTCCACATCCTGTCATCACTTGGACTCCACTGACCAAGAAACGCCCGAAGATCTGTTTTTATTCTAATAACTTACACCCCTAAACAGCCAGGACCAACTTCTACACTTAACTGCCGAAAAGGAAAGGAATCAGGACTATGAAAACAATCCAACAAAACCTATGCCACACATGCGTGGCCAAGGGACTGCCCACTTTATAGATGCAGCTCCTCTCCCTAATCAATAGTCAAAGGACCCTCCGCTGACTGGAAACACCCTGGCCTGACCTGATTATGCTGGAGTTGGAGGAGGGCACAGGGTAGGCCTTTCTCAGAAGTTGGTCCGGCAATGATATACAAACCCCTAAAAGCAGGAGAAGGTCAACAAGGAAACCTGCACCTTTGTCCATCTCCCTTAACCGACTGCAGTGGGACCACCCAGTTAGAGAGAAGACTATGAAAACTGAAATTTGGCAAATGAATTTTTCAGACTCTCCCAAACTACCCATAATCAACAAGGTATAAAAGAAAACGAGTAAGTACTGAATTTTACATGACTATAGCTACAAGAAAACACCTTACAGATAAATTAGTTCTGGTTTGCTCCTAAGACATGCAATCTTGGGAAATTTACTTGAGTCTTCTGCAGTTTCCTCATCTGTAAATGGCTAAAACTACAAGTCCTGAAGATTCCTATTAGGTCTAAAATTGTGGACCTGTGCAGCAACTGGTTGCTGGCTACATTCCTATTCTACATAGATTTTTATGAGAACAGAGGCTGTAAATCTAACACTAAACTTTGACTCAAAGAAGTTCATCTTATATGTCCCCCAAAACCATCAGAAGTAGATGGATCTAATCTCAAGACAATTTATCAGTGCAGATCCTTCACTAAGTCATTCTTTGCCATTAATAACTCGTCCTGTTTTCAGTCCCAACAATGTCATCTGTGGTAAATGCTCAAAACAGTATCTTCTCCAAGCTAACCATGTCCAAGAGGACAATCATTCACATGGTGCACACTGCACATCTGGGCGTGTGACTCTAAATAACAGAAAAATCCTCCCACATACAGCATTTCGAAGAATAGGTTATTTTGCCTTTTCAATGTCTGTCCTTCAGATTTGACAGAGAGGAATATAATCTGATTACACACCTATAAGAAGTGTTTATTTCAAGACTGTCTTAAAGACAAAAGGAACCAAACGAATCACCAACAGGAGGTAAAATTTTAAAGTCAGAACTACTGAAAAACACAAACGGGACCACCTCTGAGGTTAACAACAAAAAAAGACCAATTTTCTACCATAAACTATTCAATCTGGTTTTTGACCAAACAGACGTGGGTGTATACAGTCCTATTTAATGAAGACGACCTGTAACTTTGGATCTGATCAGTAACTAAGGACAGATGTTTAAGTGATTGTTAATCTAAAGTCTTACAGTAACTTAGAATGGGCAAAATTGCATCTATTTTGACACAACACTGCTTAAACCACTAAAACACTATTTTCACCTGGAAAATAATCTCCCACCACCACCCAATACAGACAGTCCTCACCTCTAGGATTTCAACACAATCTTTAACTTACACAATTTCCAGGAACATTGCATTAAAAGAAGGAAATCTACCCAAAGAATAACCGGACTTCTACCAGTCTAAAGAGGGTGATGTATGTTTCACATTAAATGTAAAAGGCAAAATGGAGTTGTAAAGAGTTTCTCTCCGATTGCAACTCCGACAGCCACGCGCGCTCTGCAGCGGCCGGCTACACCGCGCGGTCGGGGGCCCCAGCCCCGGAGCCCCCGCCCTGCCCGGCGCGGCCAACAGAGAGGAAGCGCCGGGAACCGCGGGCGGGCGGGCGGCTTGGGCTCCACCAGGCCCGGCCAGGCGGGGGAAGGGGCACTGGAGGCGGCTGGGCGCGCTTCCGGGGACCGCGCGG